GGCCATTAGAAGTTAACTGATTTTTCTTACCCAAAGTAGTCCTCTCCACATGGTTACCTCCCCCCTAGTGTTTCCCTCACTTTCACATTCATAATAGCATTATCCACATTATCTATAGTTAAAACCAGAGGGCCATTAGAAGTTAACTGATTTTCCTTACACAAAGTAGTCCCCTCCACATGGTTACCTCCCCCTAGTTAGGGTTCATTTGTGTACAAGTCTATCACTCACTAGTGTCTCCCTTAGAAGATGACGTTGCATGTTGCCCTATCTTTGAAGAGGACCCTATCTGAGATCTTGATCGTTTACTAATTATAAGGTCCTTCTCCTTCAAAGCAAAGACATCTCCTAATTTATGGAAGTCATTTAGGGCCAGCTCTTGTTCAACTTGGGGAGTTAAACCACGAGTTAAACCATTTATATGGCACCCAATATTCTCGTCTTCCTTTCCAGGAAAATCGACCCCCTTTATGAGTATATAAAATTGGTTCTCAAGGTCAAAGACTTATTGATAATCAAAAGTGGCTTAAGATAGACCAGGCTCAGGATGCCAAAGAGATGTAAAAGTTGAACAACATATTTTACCTGATGGCCAGTGATCCTAATGCTGATATAACCGAGGTCTCGGGAAAAGAACAACTTGATATGCAGCCGTTTAAGAAAAGAACGGTAAAATGTTAATATGAGCCTCGAGTAAGGGAGATAGAATGGAATTCAGTTACACTTGTTGGTTATTTATGGCACAGTCCATTTGTGCCTTTTCGGATGATTAGGAGGAATTTTCTCTTTGCAAGTATCAATAGCAGTATCGGTTTAGAGAGAGACAGGGGTTTCACAAGAGAGAAGGGGAGGTTGTAGAGAGAGGTGGATGTTTGAGAAAGAGAATCAAAGGTTTCAGAGAGACAGAGGTTGAAAGAGAGAAGAATTTCAGTGGGTTTCAAATTTTCAATAACAAAATTTCAATGAGTTTTGATGGAGGGCTCAGCTCAACATTAGGAGAAAATGGCACCAACACTAACCCTAAACCACATACTGATTTTAATGCAATTAAAAATCCAATTAAAAATCCAATAGTTGAACCACATACAGATTTTAATACTTGTTGTGAGCTTCTCATGTCTTTTATAAGGTTCAAAATAAATTCAGGAAAAAAGTTCCTTTCCAGATCAACATTTGGATTGGAAACCAAACCCTTGGAGACACCTGGCCGAACCTATATGCAATTGCTCTCAATCCCAATGCCAAGGTGGCCCATAACTTCGAACATAATAGTCTTCATCAAGCTTGGACATCCACTTTCAAAAGGCACTTCATGACCATGAATGTGAGTACCTCTTAGCTCTCAATAGTACACTAGCCTCTTTCTTCATCAATGGATTTGGTTGCAACAGGGTTTTATGGACTAAGGCTCATAAAAGGGCCATCTAGTTTGCCTCCTCCTATAAAGCGCTTGAACATGTCTCGTCCCACCCTCAGTCCACTATTAAAGCTTGGGCTTCACTCAAACCCACCCTCAGGGCCCTAAACAGGGAAAAAAAAAAAAAGAAGAAGAAGATCAAAGCTTTCACCTATATCGTCATCTCCAACTGCAACTTAACTGTAGAACAACTTAAGAGGAGAGGTTACAACCTTGCAAGCAGATCTCTTTGTGGAGAGGAAGAAGAAACCCTGTCTAACCTCTTTCTTCACTGTAAATTCATCTCAGATACTTCAATCGGCAGTGGGCCACCCCATGGACCATCAAACACCTTTTTTCTTCCTTCTATTCCCCCTGCACCTCGGCAGACCTCTTCCTTAGGAGAGCCTCCACTGCAGCTACTCTCTGGTTCATATGTAGAGAAACTCGTATCTTTCAAGAACTCAAGAGTAGCGCGAGTGCAACTGCAGAAAGAGCCATAAAATTTTATGATTTTCTGGGCCCACAATTGCAATCCTCTCAAGGGCTTCTCCAAATCCAATTTGGACTCCTGTTGGAGGGGCATTCTTCAATCAAAACCATCCAAACCAACATGGTATAAACTTTGGATTCCCCCTCCTTCAGGGGTCATAAAGTTCAACATACTCCCTCCATGGGAACCCTGGGCCATGTGGTTCTGGTGGCATCTTTAGAGACTCGAAGGGGACAAACCTAGGCTCCTCTTCCATTCACATCGGTTTTGGTGGTTCAAATTGGGCCGAAGTGACAGCCCTCCTCGAGGCCCTCAAGAGATTCAACTTGATTTGGGGCAACCATCTTACTGTCAAAGCCGACTCCAAAAATGTTATTTCATGGGCATCTGGCATCTTGCATGACCCGCGTAGATTCATCCATATTTTGACCACACTGCTAATTTGTGCAGGACACTTTTGAGTCGACTCCCATCATACCTGGGGAGACATACTCAATAGCTGACATGCTGGCAAAAAATGGAGCTGCGCTCACGACGACTCCAGACAGCTGTAACTTAACCTTCTTAGGATCAGTTGAATATTTGTGTTCGGAAACCTTCTCCACCTTACCTAGCCAATATAAGAAATCATCCAGATTCATCCGCCACGGGAATCAGTATTCATGAATATCTACCTTACTTCCACCTTCATGATCACATTTCGATCCCTTTCAAGGAACTAAAAAAGTTGATCATCGTGACCTGTTTGAACCGAAGCCACACTTTGATTGAAAGAGTTGATCTTGGAGTCGTTTCCATCACTATAAACTCCCTGCGTCCACCTTGGACCTGCAATACCTTTCCAAAGAGTTGTACCACATATACATCAAGCTTGAGTGGACCTAGCCTGCATAGAACATCTGTTACAATTTGTTCTAGTGGCAAGACTGCATCTATTTCCTCAGCAATAGCTTCAATCTCGGCTTGATGTCGCCTCTTAGTGGCATCTCTGAACCCCATTCTCAAAAAACCCTAGGAAAATCCATTTTGATACCAACGAATGCGGATCGATATCTCATTATTGAATAAATATACTAGAGCATGCAAATCACCCAACCACCATGCAAAAAATTCTCAACAATAGCTAGAGAAGGAAATCAATCATGAAGGAAGAGCACAAACGCTCGAAAATTATATCCATTTCTCTCTCTAAAACGACAATCCAAACAATCTCAAAAAACCTTATAACTCTATATAAAATATTAGCCATCCGTCTATTCTAATCTTCACTGTCAATTCTAACCCAAACCTACCAAATATCTATTTTCCTAAATAAACCCAAACTCTAAAAGAAAATAAGTAACTTCCTAATCAATCCAATGTTTACCCTAAAGAAAATCCAAAAAAAAAAAAGAAAGTCATGTGAACCTCTAAAAACCCATTAATAAGACTGTTTTTTCCTTCTTCCCCAATTTGGGAAGTCTTCCAAATTCTTTTCACACAATCAAATACCATGATAAGATTTTCTTTTATTGGTATCAAGACTGCCATAAGATAATCAAAACCAAAGAAAAATTGCACACATCCTTTGTAGCATCCCATACCAGTAATGAAAGGCAGGTCCTAACTATAAATACCTATAATCTACAAGTCACCATTCTGATACTGTAATGTACACTATTCTATCAAAAAGAAAGTACTTGTAGTGCGCAACTACCAAGTCAGGCCTTGTCAATTAACAACAAAAGGCCTTTCATAATTGAACAAAAAAGATAAAAAAAACTTCTTAAGGTGCTTCAAGTCACTACTGGAATGAAAGTAAACATGGCCAAATCTCAGATCCTGGGTGTCAGCATGGACCACTGCTTTACTCAGGAGATGGCCAAGAAACTCGCCCATGGAATCGCCTCAGTATCATCAAAATACTTTGGTTTACCCCTCTGCCTTGTAAACCACGTAAGAAGCTATGGGACTTCATTGTGAAGAATGCCAAGCGTAGGCAGGACAGCAGGTAGCACCGATTCCTATCATTGTGGGGCACATCACTCTTATTAAGGTGTCCCTACGAGACATACCAACTTTTCAGATATCCCTGTTCCAAATGCCACCTCCCGGTCTCAATCGGCTGGAGTATGATGAAGGACATTCTACAGTCTGGATCAGGAGGACCACATAAGATCCAGCTGGTCTCCTGGGATATGGTGTGTAGGCCCAAGAAAAAGGAGGGCAGGGCATACGAAAACCAAAGAATGGTAACATTGCTTTGGAAAGCGATGGTGGCGAGTTGTCACACAGAAATATCAATTGTGGCAATCAGTTTCAACAGAAATATGGGCTTGATGACTCAAGCTGGTTCCCTAATAAGCCACATTCCAACGCTCAAGCCTCCAGGGCTTGGACAAGCGTATCACACCGGAAACTGGAGACAATGCGATTCTAAAGAGACTTGTGGGTCGGTGAGACAAAGCTGCAGGTACTTTTCCCCAACCTCTTCTGACCTGCCACCGTGCTTCACCTCGTGACAGCCAAGGTGGCCCAGCCCCACGAAGTGCTGAGGGGTGTCACACTGTGGAACTCTACATGCAGGAGGCCCTTACATAACTTTGAAGTCCAGTGACTGGTTACACTCCTTGACCTACTCCATGCCATATTCTTACTACGTGAAGGAGTAGATAAGTTGGTATGGACATCACCACATAAGTTGGTATGGACACCACCCAATGCAAGTAAACTGTTCGTCTCGTCTTTCTACCACTCCCTGGCCACTCTACAAATCATCAACAAAGCATGGCCATCTCTCATACCCCCAAAAGTTCAGGCCTTCAACGGGGTAGTGCTGTCAGGCAGAGCACTCACAGTTGACCAGCTCCAAAGGTATAGCTCCACCTCCACATCTGAACTTTTCTACGTCAGCAACACCTACTTACAATTAATGTCAACCAAACAACACAAGAACCTTCTAAAACTTCAAGGTTATGTAAACAACAATCCCATCTAGTAACCAACAAAATCATCAAGAGATAGCTTCTTACTTTGTTTTTTAAGCATATAGCATATTATTATTAATGAGTAAACAAATTGAAGCAAGAGGAACGCTTCCATCAAGTATGGAATTTGGAGGCATCCACTTACTTGAACATAGTTCATAAGAGGAATGGTCTTCCGTAGCATAAGGCATACAACAACCTAGGAAATCACAGACAACACAAAGTAGCAGCCATTACTCCCCAAATTTATTTTCAAAAAAAAAAAAATTAAGTAAATATGTGACAAAGGTAAGCCTGACAATCCCTGGTACATAACCGAGGGGGTAAGGAAAGTAAAAATCAGCATGTACCAAAAAAACTCTCAACGAGGATACAAGGGTAATACCTTACTGAAGTATCCTGCCAACAAGGTGCAATGAGAACGGTTTGGCTCCAGAAAGGAGAAAAGCAAGTTCATCAACTGTAAAAATAGAAAATCATTAATGCCTATGGCAGTAAAAGATGAACTAAAAGAGATAACATGTGGGCAAGCAATGAGGATTTGCACACCTCCTCATCCTCCACCAGAGTTTTGAGTATAACATCAATTTCACAAGTGAATATCTCACAGGCAACAAAGGGGAACCTAAACTCAAAACAACATCGAAAAAATTAGGGAGACCAATTCCAGTTTAAAGCAAAAATGCACAGTTAGGGGCTTACACGTTTCATAGTGACCAAATTAATTATTTGATCAAATCTAATTATTCTAGAACCTTTAAAAGAAACAGAATATTGACGTATTCTATTATGATCTTACTTGTAAGCGCGTCTCTTCTCAGAATCCTCAGGAGGATCCTCCACAATATAATGCAGCATTTGTTTCACCTGAGCTCTGTCTCGGAGACTAACATTAACATTAACAATGAAGAGTCAAAACACCAAATAATAAATTAAGGATGCTTTAACGAAGATATTAGCCAGGTGACAGGTGATTGTTATCTTCAAGGAATAACTCTAAACTGATAGCAAGTCATCAAAAATAATAAAAGTCCCATATAAACACAATCATCATACAAATTAATGAGACGGCTATTCAAAGCTTTGCATTCTTGGATTATTTCCTCTTCATCAAACAGCTCCTCCAAAGTGAAGTTTTCCTTGTCCAAGACAGATTCCACCTGCATAGCAGATAAGTAAAATGAACAGTGACACCCCAAGTAGATAGGCAAATAATATTTCGACTTGACAACGACAGAAGCTTCCAACATGTTCAGCTCCTGTTAACCAAAAAATAGAAAAATTTCTGACGTATGACAAAATTCACAATTAGCTTTATAAATTGAAGACTAACCACGTGACAGGTGTGAAACTTAATTATCTATGAATCTAATCAACGTCTTCACAAATATAACTTGTTTAGTAGAAACAACACAGAGAAGGGCTGGTATAGCATCCACCTCATGTACACATTCAAATTGTGCACACCTTCCAACATTCAAATTAGAAGGGAAGAATTTTATTTTAAATTTCATTTTATTGGATCGATATGAAACTTTGAAGGTGAGAGCCACACTAAAGCGCATCTAAAAAAATAAATTCAAAAATAAATTGACCAAATTACCCTGAATATCACAAGGATATTTTGGTCAATTTATTTTTTGCAAATTCTCTTCGATATTTATATTAGGTGTGCCTCATTGAGTAATGTGGATGTTCAAATTTCAAGTTATACAATTTTTATAAAAAGTTAAAATTAAAATTAAATAACTATATGTGATTGTGACATCCATTTTCTCCCTATGTAGCAAGAACCACTAGGATGTGCTTGTGTACTATTCAAGCGTATACACATGTGGATGCTATAATTTTCCTAGATAGAATTTGTTTTAATTTATCTTACATGGACATGGAAACAATAATTGAATTGACTGCCTTCATCATGGACATGGACACAAGAATCTAGCTTCGATTCGAAGAATCCGGCAGACCTACCAATTTTTTGGCAAGGCCAATATGACATGTTTGTATAAGTTTGTACAACTCGTGTGTGTATACATATCTTACGAGCTTTTTTAATAATAAAATGAACTTCATCATCATCATCATCCAAGCCTTATCCCAACTATTTGGGATTGGCTACACACATCATGCTCTGCCATTCAGCTTTATAAACGGCAAAATAAAATTAACTTAAAAACAATAAAACATATGAGCCAAATCACATACATGTGCGTCCAAATCACAAGACACTTGTGCCCACACGGTCTTACAAAACGAACATGCATCTTACAATGCGGTCACATGTTCCTTATAAAAAATTAATACACGTGTCTTGTTCGTCCAATCTGTTGACCCATGCGTCCACAAGGCAGGCTCGATGTGTCAGTGAATCCAAAAGAATAAAGATTTTTTTGTTTTGATGAAGTTAACAATAGTATTACTATAAAAGACGAAGAATAAGGATTTCCTGAAATGCATGCCAATACAAATTTCCTGTGTCTATAAGCATGCTGACATCCATTTCTCATGCATTGTCATGTTGGATTCTCCTAAATGCATGCGATACACACACCATTGTTGCAAAGGCTCTAAGGTACTATCAATCAGGAAAATACCATTTTAATATATTAAGCACTACAAAAGATACTAAGTTTTCCTTCGCTCTTCACCAACATAGAACAAACTTTTTGGAGTCATCATAATAAGGCTCATTTGAGAAGATGTACCATTAGCTCGGCTTTACCACAATGCCCTGGTAGTCCAAGACAAGAAAAGGCAAGGTTTATCTCTGCCCAAATACCCAAAAAATGTAACGAAGACATCTGGTCAAAACCAAGACCCAAATTCTAGTAAGATGCATCCAAAGTTTCTTCTTGTGCCTATTATGGAAATGTCCCCTTTCTGTGTTCCTTAAAAAATAACCAGACAGGCAGCGTATTGTGCCGCATTACACCCACTTTTCAGGTAAAAGAAAGCTAAAAGACAGGCTTTACAGCCTTTTTTTCGACTAATAATTCATCTCCCATATTTTGAACCCCCATTTCGACAATTTTGACAAAAATTGATCCTTCTTAGCCTCCAATAATCATTTTTTGATCAAGAGTTGCATTTGGGCAAGATTTTTCATCGAAATCTAATCATTTGTGGACCTCAAAACCCACTCCACCTTCCCTGAAACTCTAATTTCTCAACCAAATCATCTGCATTTGTTTGAAATTGTTCGTCTTGGAGCACTCTAACATACCCTTATAACAGATCGAAAAGCAAAATAAAAGAAATTGAAGTCCAAATTTTTTCAGTCTCTTGAACCGTGATTGAAAATATTCGATTTCACCTCATTTTTTCACCAAATTCATTCAATTTTGTCCGAATATGTTCCTATCACGTTGATCTATAAAAGCCCCAACAATCAAGAAGAAAAATCTCAAAAATCAAATTTATGATTTTCTTCTGCCTTTTTGCTCCTAAAGTGCTTTTTTTATTTTTTTTATTTTGATTTTTTATTTTTATTTTTATTTTGATTTATAGATCCTATTAGATGTAATCGAATATTTCATTTTGATTTTATGAATTTTTCCTTATTTTTGCCTTTTTCTTCCATTTTTTCCTTTTCTTATTTATTTTTAAAGATTGGCCGACTCGGCCAAGCTGACTCGGCAATTCGGCCGGTCCAGCTTGGGAGCGGTGGGTTACCAGTGCAACCCATCAGTCAGAGTTTTTAAATATGGATTCTACAAAGCCAATTACATAAACTTAGTATTCCTATAGTTTAGAGAGAGAAACAAGTAAATGCTAAATACAAAAGACTAAAATAATCAATATCTGGAAACATTCAAATTTTGAAGCTCACAATTAACTCGTAAACAGCCTGTTATGAGCTTCCATGGAATCATAGGCCACCAATTTTACCGAGACCACCAAAAATTCTAGAAAAGAAGCTAAATACGCAAAGTAATTGCCAAATCGACAATAATTGTGCAGTTTTCAAAGTGCACTCTAGCTGACATTCCCATTAAATGACACAGCATAAATTGTAGAGACTAGAGAGAGATAACAGGGTACTAAAAGAGCAGTAAAAAACTAAGAAACCAGTTTCATTAGTTGCATCCATCGCCTCAAACCTGTTCCAATTAAAATAATAAGCTCATGAATCACTGTAACCCAAAAGAGATAGAACCATTTCATATCACACTTCATCGGGAAGCACAACCATTGAATATATTAACATCTAGAGAATGAAAACAGATGCTAGAGAGACAAAACCCAACACTAGAAGACATCAGAAACCCAAAAGGAAACTGTATATGATATCAGAATCACCCCAAAGAAGTAACACAGAGCTCATAGACACGAAAATCAATCAAAAACAGCAAAATTTCTAGCTATAGAAGGCAAATTCAATACAGACTTAGTATTGCCACTGTTTAGAGAGAGAAACAAGTAATGATAAATACACAAAACTAAAACTCGGTAAAAACCAAGTAGATGTTTTACTCACAGGTGAAGCAGCGGACAATCCAGTCATGTGCCAAAACATCTTGATTTTAGAGTGAGAAAGCTTAAACACAGAAGGATACAGATACGGGTGAACTGAAGATCTGAAAGCCCTAGACGTTGCCCTAAAATGAGGACAGAGAAACAAGCCCAAAAAAAAGGTGTTAGAGAGAGAGCGGGTTTTGAGCTATTTAAATTTAAAGAGATAGAGAGAGAGAAAAGGTGGAGGCAAAGCTGATGTGTGTGATGAAGAGTAAGAAGAGGCCTCTTTGTGTTTCTCTCTCTAAGAAGTGCAGAGAGAAAATGGATCGATGATTGAAAAGAAACAAAGGAGGCCGAGGATCACAAAAATGAAACAAGAATGAATAGAGATGAACAAATAATGTGAATGGAGAGAGAGAGAGAGAGTATCAGAATGCCCTTAAAGTTTAACCTGAAATTACTAAAAAGAGCCCGTACTGAAATATTGGTACATGAGACAATACTGATACTGGTTATTAAAAAACGAATCAGTGGATCGAGCATCCCAAAATTTGGTTCAGATCGGTAAATCGGCATTCTAAATCCTAAACCTTAAGCCATAAGATAGTTGTAAGTGTACTAGTGACTAAACTCAAAGCCCAAAAAAAATTTCTTGAACTTCGTAACACATCCCAAGCCATCCAATTGGACATCTAATGGCTAGGATTAATTGTGGCCTCC